AAGCACAGACCCTGAACCTATCAGTTCTGGCTAACCATTCAGACACCTGAACCTATCAGGTTGGTACTCTGACACACAGTAGTACCCTGTCTGACACACAGACTCCCACACCAGCTTCTTCTTCCCAGCTGCTGCTTCGTCACATCCCAGCGTCTCTCCCAGCTCTCCTTCTAAACTTCTCCACACAGGCTTCACATATATATACAGTACAGCCCCTCCTCCTGATGTCCCGCCTTCCACTCCCCATAGGATGGAACTTTCCCTCCAAACCCATGACAGACAGGTAACATCAGTGCTGTATGTAACAGCAAACAGGACTGTTGTTTTGAGATAATCCCACATCATTTCATTTGGTGTGCCTAGAGTTCAACTGATCGGTATGAGCAGAAGCTGAAAGCAGAGAGGCATGCAATTCTGATTGCCAAGAAGCAAGCTATTCTACGAAGGCAACAGGAAGAAGTGAATGAACTGCTCAGTCAGCAAGTTAGCGCTGTACTTTATGCTGTTTTCTGAAGGGCACAGGTTTTGTTGTTGTAAATAGCTATACAGTATATCAATTAACCTTCACTCTTCATAATACTATGGATTAGATGGAAACTCAGCACCACAGGTACCATGGAGGTTCATTCCCTTCCCCCAGAACCAGCCCTGTCCACTCATCACTTTGTGTGGCGCATGCGTGCATCATTGGTAACATCGTGCCAATCGCAGAAGTAGCCCGGCCAACGCTTCCCTGCCTCTCTGCACCACTGACCATTCTGGTGAGGAGGCAGGAAGAAGAGTCTGCCCAATCACTGCTGAGTGGTTGGCTGTGCAGAGAGGTGGGGGAGTGCCAGCAGGGCAACTTCTGTGAATGGCTCCATGTTACCAATGATGGATGCACACACCACACGGAGCCTGGTGAGTGAACCGGGCTGTATCTCAAGGTCTCCACCTCTTTCTAGAAAATAAAAAACCTTAAAAAGGAGCTAGGGGCCATGTGGCCTCTGGTTCAAATGTGGAGGAAGGGCCCTCATGCATCCAGTGCATATGGCCCCTTCCCTGTTTTTTTGGGGTGCTGGCATCTTCAAGGATTTACTGTCCCCCTGAAGGAAAATGTGAGCCACCAAAAAATAGTGGTGGCTCACATAGAAGCCTCTAGGAATTGTGCAGGGTGTACACTGTAGTATAAACACTTTTCTTAAGCCAGAGGGGGGGGTTTTTTCCCCCAACACCCCCCCCCCCAGAAGTGGACTTTTGGTCACTTCCAAATTAGGAAAAGTCTCACATTTTTTGAAAGGGTGTGGCCCAAGACAGCTCCAGAGAAGGGAACACTGGTCCTCAGATCTAAGAAAGCTTCCTACCCTTGCTTGAAAGCAACAGACCTTTGGCATGGAGTTTAACAATCCTCTGTCCCTCAAACAATTCATGCTAGGTATACTGCTGGCACTGGTGCATTACCTATAGCCATAATTCCCAACCTTGGATCCTCAGAAGCCTTCACCACCAACTGTGCTGGCCAGGGTTTCTGGACATTGCATTCTAAGAAAATCTGGGACCTAAGTTTGGGAACCACTGATCTATAGGGACTGTGGAGCTCTTGGAAATGGATGTGCTGTCTCACAGCCCACCAATGTTGGTATCACTTTGTGGGTCGTCAAGCCTCTTAGTTTCAAGGGTCTCCAGTTCTTCTGTGGTACTCAGGACAGGTGCCTCCTTTGTTTGCACTACTGCTTCCTTAGTTTTGTGGGTTTACTGTGAAACCCATATATTGACACTACTTAAAAAACATGGTAATGATCACTTCTTAGTTCTCTATGGCCATTCCCTAACACATTCTGGAGTGGTGGAAACTGGACAAATCTGATACAGTTTTGAAGGCACTTCCCGTATGGTACTCTATTTAAATCTCAGAAACGTTTTGAATAACATAAGCAAATCATAATCTGCCTGTGGCTTCTGTGAGTATAATAACTTCAAGAATAATCTCTTACCAGTGCATGTTATGTATGATTTCTGGAAAGTGCTGAGCATGGTCTGGATTTAAGTGTCGGAGTGCTTGTATTCACACTTACTATCTTTTCACAACAGAAATCAACTGAATATCAAACCTTTGATGAAATGGTGGAAGAATTTAAAAAAACCTTGCTTCACTCAGATCCTGTGATCTTGGAAGAATTTTGTGCCAGCATACCATTTATCGATCTCTATTTGCTATCCCTGGATCGTCAGGATGCTACAATTTATAAGTGCGTGACTCTTGTTGAGCTAGCTGGATAGTCCAGTAAACTGGACACATTGCTGTGGAGCCAGAGGTCAGGGGTTCAGGTTCCATTATGCCTCCCAGAAGAAGAGCTAGCCAGTATAGCATTAGGCAGCTGCGCAACCCCAGGGCACCCCCAGAAGAAGGGACTGGAAAATCACTTCTCAATACCCTATACCTACAAAACCTTGGGAAAGGTCACCCTAAGTCAGGGGTGGGTAAAAAGCAGCCCTCCAGATGTTGCTGAACTGCAACTCCCATAATTCCTAGCCCACACAGCCAATAGTAAGGAGATTTGAGCCTAGCCCACACAGCCAGTACTGTGAGGAGAGTTGGGCCTAGCCCACACAGTGAGGAATGTTGGGATTTGCAGTTCAGGAACATCTGGAGGGCTGCACTTTGCCCAAGTTTCTCTACCTTGAAGCCAACTGGACAGCATGAAACAATTCTGTTTTTGGGCTGCAATTCCCAAACTCCCCAACCATGGGGAAAGAAATGTTTCCAGCCTCTGGGATGGTAGATAGTAGACTTTAATGCTTTCCCAAGTCAAAAACCTTTTTTGGGTGTGTGTGAAAAACAGGACCTCAAGAAAAAGGGTTCCAGTAGAGTCTTCTGCCTAATCTCCAGTTGCAAATGAACTATAAACGTGGAAAATAGGTCTGGGCGACCCCTCTCCCTGTGTATTCTGAAGTGTTCTGTCTTGTCCTGTGATGGCTGTACCAAGTGCTTTTTCTGTGTCTGAAGCAAAACAGGCCCAATTCAGGTTAGAGAGATAACAGCCAAAGGTGGGAAGGAGCAGAAGAGAGTCCAGTTTAATATCCCCTCCCACAAAATGGTTAAAAACATCCTACTTAAAATGTAGTAAAGAACATAATGGGCAGAATCCTATTACTTATTCACAATAGCATAAATCAAACAGTGTACACTGCTCTAGCAAATTGCCACTACTTAGAAGTTGAGCCTTGTATTTCTCATGGCACACCACTCAGGTGACTTGGCATGCAATAAGAAACATAAGCATTGACTTCTAAATTAGCAACAGTTTATGCTGAGATTTACACAGAAACCCTCTTTGAGGGCACAGTGTTTCCAGAGTTCAGAGGGCAGACTCTTCCCCCATGCCTTCTGGACAAGAAGCTCTTGAGGGTCCCTCCCACTCCCTCTCCCTCCACAGGTATGGGTTTTGTTTTTCTCTCATATTTATGTATGCTTTCCTTCTCATACTCAGTGATCTCTTTGTTTCACTCACTCACTCACTTATATTTCTAAAATTTACAAACTTCCTTGTATCTACTGTTACATACAGCACTGATGTTACCTGTCTGTCATGGGTTTGGAGGGAAAGTTCCATCCTATGGGGAGTGGAAGGCGGGACATCAGGAGGAGGGGCTGTACTGTATATATATGTGGAGCTTGTGTGGAGAAGTTAGAAGAAGCTGGGAAGAAGAAGCTGGTGTGGGAGTCTGTGTGTCAGACAGGGTACTACTGTGTGTCAGTACCTACCTGATAGGTTCAGGTGTCTTTATGGGTAGCCAGAACTGATAGGTTCAGGGTCTGTGCTTTATTTAAAGGTGTTCTGTGTGAACCAAACTGGTGTATGCATGATTGAGACTAAGCCACGTTACTGTATCTTATTCACGTGATCATTTTATTTTCCCTGTGTGTTATTTAAATAAACCTTATTCCTTTGTTTGTTGAAAATCCATTCCTGGTCTGTGTGACTCCTTACAGGGAATGGTTGGTGGCAGCTTAGTGAAACTGTGGCATATCCCAGTAGGTCTGGGGTTGTCACATCTACAAGCATCTTATCACAGATTACAACAGTGATTGGACTCCCAGATGTTTTTGGACTACAACTCCCAGTAATCCTGGCCAGCACAGCTAATGGTGATGATGCCTTCTGGGAGATTTAGTCCAAGACATCAGGGGACCCAAGTTTGGGAACCACAAGCTTACATATTATAAAAAGACATATATAACACAGTAGCAGATACATAATTATAAGGTAAGAGGTGCGAAGAACTACTGAACTAGCAAACAAATAAAAACATATATGTTGTTTATGTTCCAAAGCTATACCATCACATCTGAGAAGGACTTCCATTTTATAAATGCATGATGTTTATATCTAACTATCAGTATTTAGATTCCCAACGTGATCAGTGGATAGAGTGACAGATTAGGACTCAGGAGGCCATGGTTCGACTCTCCACTCAGCCATGGAAACTCATTGGGGGTGTGGAATTGGTAAAAACACTCCTTAAATATCTCACTTACCTTTAAAGCCCTGTTACGGTTCCTATAAGTTGGTTCCAACTTGACCACACATAACAAGTATTTAGGAAAGGGACAGATATTCTGAGAGCTGGGATTCCTTCGGAGATTTGGGTACTAAGCTTTGCTTTGAAAATGGCAACCAACACTACAAAGTCAGCCTACTAGAAAACAGGGGGGCAGTGTAATGCTTTGAGAATTGGTATAACACAAATGGTTAAGCAAGGTAGAATTCTAATAAAATATGCCCCATGTAGAATGCATTATAATAATTTTATATGGAGGATTAATTTATGGCAATTTATTTCTTACGTTTCTAGCAACTTCTGCCTAATGCTTTGATACCAAGTTAGATGGAGTGTGGGCAAAGCCACTGTAGTCATCCTCCCCACCACCCCCAACAAGAATAACATAAGAGGGGGTTGTTTGTTGTGGGTTTTTCGGGTTGTTTGGCCGTGTTCTTAAGGTTTTTCTTCCTAATGTTTCACCAGTCTCTGTGGCCAGCATCTTCAGAGGACAGGAATCAGAATTCTGTCTGTGCTCTGGTGCAATTTGTTGGATAGTTGAGTATCTATAGCTGTGGGATCAACTTTTGTCCTTTTCAGGAGATTGGGTGATGAAGGTGATCAGCATGTTTTTGTTGTGAGTGTATTGTTGTGATAAGGGGGAGAAATTATCTGTCACTGTGATTGATGAATGTCGTTAGCTGGTCTTTTATGTGCAGTGATTGTGGCTGGGTAGAGTTCCTTGACCTTTTGCAGGCTGTATTTTTCAGTGCTGGGAGCCAGGCCTTGTTAAGTTTTAGACTTTCTTCTTTTTTGTTGAAGCTCTGCTGGTGTTTATGGATTTCAATGGCTTCCCTGTGCAGTCTAACATAATGATTGCTGGTGTTGTCCAATACTTCGATATTTTGAAATAGAATTTAATGTTCAGTTTGTTTTAGGGCATGTTCAGCTGCTGCTGATTTTTCCAGTTGTTTTAGTCTGCAGTGTCTCTCATGTTCTTTGATTCTGCTGTGAATGCTGCATTTTGTGGTTCCAATATATACCTGTCCACAACTGCAAGGTATCCGATATACTCCTGCAGAAGTGTGGGGGTACCTTTTGTCCGTTGCTGACCGTAATATTTGTTGTATTTTTGTGGTGGGTCTGAATACTGTTTGTAGGTTGTGTTTTTTCAAAAGTTTCCCCACGCGCTCCATGACCCCTTTGATGTACATCAGAAATACTTTATTTGTGGATGGCTGTTTTTCCTCTTCAGTTTGGTGTTTTCTTGGTTTGATGGCTCTTGTGATTCCATTCTTGGAGTAGCCATTTGCCCGTAGGGCCCGATTCAGATGACTGAGTTTGGTGCTGAGAAATTGAGCTTCACAGTTCCAATTTGCATGGTCTATCAGTGTTTTGATTATGCCTCTTTTTTGCTGTGGGTGGTGGTTGGAGTTTTTGTTTAGGTACTGGTCTGTGTGGGTGGGTTTTCTGTGGACCTTGTGTCCCAACAGGAGGTCAGTTTTGCATATGACCATGACATCCATTTCTTTTTCCATGATGAATTGTATATTTGGGTGGATGCTGTTGAGATGGTTTAGAAATTCTTCCAGTTTTTCTTCACCGTGGTTCCAAATTGCGAAGGTGTCATCCACGTATCGGAAATTTGGAACCACGGTTAATGCATGATCTGACCGTTTAGCTCCGGAGAACATGATCAGAGACTTTTGCTGTTGTTATTGTCGCTAAGACTCTTTGACGCGTGGTGACACTAATAGGGTTTTAAAGGCATACGAGATGTTCTAGAAGTAGTACACAATTGGTACCTCCTCCAAGGAAGTTTCCATGGCTGAACAGGGATTTGAACCCATGTATCCCCTGCCCTGCTTCCACACCCTGTCCACTACATCACAATGGCTCTCAGTTTTAAGTGTAAGTTACATAATTTGTGAAAAAGAGTACAGCAAGTCGACACATAGGCAGGGGCCCTGATTCAAAGCAGCTTCAACTTATTGGTAGAGGCATAGGCACTCCCCCAGCCCCACAGTATTAAATATAATTTTGCCTGTCTCCTGCTGATGCGAGAGAGAGAGAGAGAGAGAGAGAGAAAGAAAGAAAGAAAGAGAGAGCAGGCAAACAACCTGTAATTCTGACAGGTGGCCTTTTATGGCAAGTACATTGCACTATGTTAGGCTCATGGTACTCCTAGGTTAAAGAAGGAAATATTGCTACTTTCAAATAGCAGGCAGGAGTGTTTCTAATTTCAGGCCAAGTTGCCTTTTTCTGGGCTAGGATGAATAGTGTGGGAGTGAAGCAGGGTCAGAGTGAATACTCTCTGCTTCCCCTCCTCTCATTCTCTCTCTTAATCTCTGCTGCCGTCACACAAGCCAAACGTTGCCTTCCTATCCCCCATTTGGTTCTTATAATAAATTTGTGGCCACATGACACATAGCCATTAGCGAATCATTTACCCAGCAAGTGTGATAAATGCAGATCATTTCTTGTTTGGCCAGAAGCTTTTTTTTTTAATGGCAGATTTTTTTTTAAGTTGTGTTGCTGTGTATGTGAATGGTCTTATTGCAACTTTTTTGAATGATTGTCACCATGCATGTCCTTTCAAATTGTTTCAAATTGTTTTTAATTTTTCTATGGCAATTATGTCAATACATTGGTTAACGTCTGCCAAACTGTGTCAACAAGAAGCTTTAGGCTCTTATTGAATTGGGAGGAAATGACTCGATAACTCAAAAACACACTGGGATGCACATCCTGGAATAAATACCATGTGATTTCAGAGCATGACAGGAACATGATTAAAAGTGACATAACTACAGGGGGACATTTTGCTGGTATGTCTGTGGCCTGCCTGCCTCTCTCTCTCCTTCTCTCTGAATGTCCACTTTTGAACCTAGCTCTGTCCGTTATTCCTGGATTTATTTTTTTGCTGCTTTGTCTTCTACCCCACCAACCACAGTGGGCAAATGCTGCCACTGGCTGTGAGCTTACAAGTCTCAGTGTAAAAGGGTTTGTTTGATTCAGTGGAACTCTATAGATTGCATTAGTTGCCAAAGTTTCCCTTCTCCATTTTAACAGACTGATAATACATTTGCTTCTTGTGTCTTTCCAGGCTGCAAGAACTCTATTATGAAATTGTTGCCACTTTGACCACCCTGCTCCGAGAATCACAAGAAAAATCTTTGCAATCTTTGTGGTCTCTCAAGTCAGCATCTAGATCCACTGCTACTATGGGCTCAGGCAGATAAACATTTATTTTCTTCCCAGTTTGGGAGGGAAAAAAAACCTTTGTTGCACATTTCCTCACAATCTGCAAAATTAATGGCAAATCTTCTCCTTCCAATAGAGTTCAGATTTTGCTCCATTTGTTCCCATCCTGGGAAGTGTAAACCTAATTTGCCTGCCCTGCTAATATATGTTTATGTTTTGTGGCTGTATCTCTTTCAGTCTTTATAGACTTAGGTCAAACTGTTAGCTCATATCCTGTGATTTTTCATGGAGGCCATGTGGTAGATATTAACTGGTAAACCCGGATTTTCAAACTAAAGCAATGTTCTGTATGTGCAAGTTTTTCTCCTTGTTCTTTGTTTTTGGGTAAGGACAGGATCTTGAGTGTATATGCAACTTTCCCTTCCACAATGGTTGTTGGGAACATGAACCCAAATGGGGTCTTGTAGCATGGTTACCATTTAAGAACACATATGAATAAGAAGTTGTGCGATAGAACTGAGGTTCCTGGCTATATCTTGTCTACTTCATCTGCATTTAACTAGTCAGGCATTTGCATCACAAAGTCTACATATAACACAGAAAATGGGTTGGAAGGGGATATGCCTGGCTTCATTCTGAATGCCGTGATGTCAACATGAGGGTAACCACTGTTAGCCGACATCTGGAGCAGCACATTGAACAAAGCATTTTTCTGCAGCATCTTAAAGACTAACACATTGTATTTGGCATACGCATTTATGGACTACATCCTGTGCCATCAAATGCATGGAGCATTTTCTTCTCAGTTGGCAGATGACAGTATACGAGTATATGCTTGGGATGATGAATGAGGGGTTGTAATGAGCAAGATCAGAGGAAACTGAAATGCAGAAATGTGCAAGCAATGATCATAATTATCCTAGTAGTACAGTAATCACAGCTGGGTGATAATTCCTGATGAGCTGATTAATGTCTTTTATCATGTGATTAAAAAAAGTTGTCCTTTTTCAAGCCAGAAGGGATAAGATTCAGATCTCTGAAGTTCTTTTGTTCAAGAATTGAAGGATTCAACCAGCAATGATTTTTAGATGAGAGGGTGATTTCTATTTAAACTAATTCACCTAATTCATCTTTCATGGCATTGTTCTTCCGGAGGTCCAGTAGCCAACCTCTAGGATCCCCGGACCCTATACTTCTTGCTTCTGTTTATGCCCATTTTTATCTTTCACCGTTAAGTCCCACAAGACTTTTCTTCAGAAGACAACAACGAAGATCTTATGCTCCAGTAATAACACTGTAATTGTAAGATTCTTCATTTTCTGATAAAGCCTGGCATCTTTCATATTTGATATGATAGAATTAATTTATTTTATTAGAGACTGGTAGACTACACTGCCTAATCTCTAGCCTTAAGGCAAAATATATGCAGGACTGTATACTGTATACTGTCATCTATTCCAATGTATGATGTATGCAATATATTTGCACAGATTATATGGTTCAGAACAGAGCTAGGCAACGTGCAGCCCTCCAGATGTTGCCAAATGGTACCTACAGTCCTCCTTCACCTTGGAAAATGCTGAAGGCTAGGACTGGTGGGAGCTGGCCTTACAGCTGGAGAAGGCCTGCTGATGTGATATGAATTAAGTTTCAAGCTATTATGGAAGTGAGTGTTATAGAGGGAAATGACTCCTCCAAAATATATGGCTGGAAAGTTACACTTTGCCAATTTTACACAAGATGGAAAAGATTCTCTTTAGTGATTAAGTCCATTAGTCTAGAGCTACAGGATCCTGTCCCATCGCAGAAAGCATGTATCAGATGTTAAGCGTGTCCCTTTTTGAATTATCCTCAAAGTATGTGAAACAGCATGGAAGCAATCTAGACACCAGTGAAATCTTCAGCTCTTGAAGTATTTTGAGAATTTCCCAGATGGACTTTTCTCTGCTAAGAAAAAAGCAGGGGTATAATATTTGGTGCTGAGTTTGTAGATTCATATGTATTTTTTTAATATTACAGCTGTGAAGCACTTTATGATTATGTGTAGTGGAATGGTGTATAATATTACAAAAAGAACCACTTGAAAAATGTCCTCTTTAACAGTAAGTGGTTAGTCTGGGTTACTCTATGGCTTTTTAGTAGTAAAATAAATTAGAAACAGACGTGAACAGTATCTAATTCTAGGCACAGAAATGCTTGAAAAATGATGCCCATAAAACAAAACTATTGACACTTTGTGACAGAGATATGGGCTTTTTTTGTTTTTGTTTTTTTGCTTTCAGTTTAACAGAACAAGCTCATTTATCATGCCCAGCGTATCCTTCTGAGTACAACTCACTCAACCAGACTGGTTTCATTGGTTTGCATAGGTAAATCATTTTGAAGGTGGGTCTTCCGCTGTAATTCATTGAAATATTCATCTCCATAGGCTATTGGATTTGACATTCTGTTCTTTTAGTTTTGTACATTGTATACTGCATTTTAAAACACTAATATTTTTACAGAAGTGCTCTTCTGCAGGTGTGTGGTGCTTGAATTTGGTTTAGGGAATGCAGGCCGATCACTCTGTACAGGTCTGGATTGCTTTTGATCATCACATTAGATGTCCCTTCCTGACATGCCCAGTTTGAATCCTTCCTTAAATTTTTTAGAAAATTGTTGATCTCAATATAGGGATCCTCATGTACAAATCAAATCTGCATGATGAAACAGAATGACATATATGTTCCATCTCTCAGTCTTAGCTTTTCAGATGGCTTTCAAAAGAATTGAAATCCCTGTATATATTAAACTGATGATGAGACCAAATGAACAAAGGAAGAAATGTTATGGGAACAGCAACATTCCTTAAAAATATCCTGAAAAAGCTTATAATGTGTATGTCAAGCAAAATACACTTAAAAGATGTCATATTTGATTCAAAGCTTTCACAAATAGGTTCTTTAAGCTGACATTTAAATTAGCAAACACCTGTAATTTGTTATTTTAGACACTTGATTTTAGATTACTGGTAATGTGCAATCTTAACTATTTTTATATTGTTAGCTTCCTGAGTGCCTGTGAGGGAAGATGGAGTTTAAATCAAATCATATTACTACAGTATTATTAATCAGAGGAGGTGCTGAGCAAATGGAAACAGAGGAACCATAACTGAGAAGACCCTATCTTGTGCTACACCTCACATTTTCTGTTACAATCAAAGTACTCTAAGCAGGGAATCTGAAGCAATAACTGGGAAAATTATTCTTGTTCCTGGGCAGTTCATTGCACATGAATATCCCTCCTACTTTTATGTCTGTCTGAAAAATGAGGTATGTCTAGTAGTGGGGTAGTCTTTTTGCCTCAAGAGAGAGGAACAGAACCAACAGTGTTTGTCAACTTCTTCAGTGGTTGCTCATGATCCTACACAGTTCACCATTTGTCTCCTGCTTGCTTATAGCATTTTATTTCAGGATGGGTAATGTATACACACAGACCCCACTGTGTTTGGGCTACACTTACAATCAGCTCTTGTCAGTAAAACTGATGGTGATGGGTGACAAAAATGGCAATCGAGCTACAGTACATGGGAACCTAGAGGGCACATACGGAAGCCTATCTCCATACACAAATTACTCTGCTGGATTTAGCAGATAATGCTGTTCTGTACACCCTAATGTAAAAGATTCCAAGTGCACTTTCATCTGGAGTTGCCTGTTTTCTCCCATCTATAACAGCAAACAGAAGCTCCTCATAAAAATCCCAGAGAGGAATCCATGACACAAGTTCCAACTAAATTTGGTTTTCATGTTGTCATTTGTAGTAATTTCATTTTTTATGAAGAACACTTCCTCAAACTTCCACCACATAATGAAAACACATGTGGCTCTAGAGACAATATGTGACCGTTTTCATGGCAGGATTAGATCGAAACCTCACTTTCCCCCCTTTTGACAGTTATATGGGCCACATTTCAGCAAGACAGTCAAATGGGAGGAATATAATCAAGCTTAGAACCTCTCCTCCTTTTACATATGGCCATTTTCATTACAGCCACATGTTATCTGAAATTCCTTATTAGATGGCTGAAATCTCCTTGCTTTGTTATGCATACAGAAGGCAAATGGCATGAGCAACATACCGCTCATGACCGAAACCAAAGGAATTTAACATGATTACTGCATGGAGGAGGAAGAGAGCTGTGTGGAGGGAGGTGGAGTTGCGTGTGTCCACACATGTGCACATCTTAGAGGAACCCTTGGGAATGACGGCCAGTTGCTTTTTGCTGGCAGTTAATGAGTTGCTGGTGGGATTCCTGACAACATGCACACCCACTGGCTTGGCATGCGCTTGCAAACCTGATCAGGAATTTGTTAATTGCCAGGTAGAGGGCACTGAAAGTCATGCTGTTTGCCTTCCACAAGCAATAAAATTTTGGCAATAATTTCAATTATTTTATCTCAATTAAAACAAAATAATAATACTGAACAAAGTTGGTGATGTATCATGAAAATAATTAAAATATGATTTATTTGAACTACAGTTTGAGAAAGAAAAATTATAGGTGGACATTGAGTTTAATACATTTTCTAATTCTATGCTGTTTGTATGGATTATTGATTTCATGGATGATTAGTGTGTGCTTATGTGGATGCCAGAATGCTATGATGGTGGTCACCTATAACTGTCAGACGTGCCATACTTCAGAATTCTTTTCTTTATTCCATAGATCTTCAATACAGAGTTAAATAAAAAGCATGAAAAACGGGTGAATCAAAGACCAACTGCTAGTCGATTTCCTTGTACCAGTTGGTAGATGTATTTCATGTAAAAAATTTACATTTATTTATTTATTGATTGATTGATTGATTGATTTATTGATTGATTTATTGATTTATTTATTTATTGATTTGATTTGATTTGATTTGATTTGATTTGATTTGATTTGATTTATATCCCGCCCATCTGGTCTGGTCGACCACTCTACATACTAAACAGATTTTTGTCTGACTCAGTCAAGTTGTTTTTACATTGAATAACACACAGAGGCATGTAGCACAAATGCTGAGTAGCTGTAGTATCATAGGGTGGGACGGTGCCCCTAAGGCCCTCAACTTCACAGCCTGATGCAAGAAGTCCAGAGCTAGAGTATATGACATACCGGTACGTTGTCATCCACTTTCCGCCTCAAGTCATTCAGCCATTGGCTCCTTTGTGAAAATGTTCTTGCTCTTAATGAGCTTCTTCTAATGGTCAGATGGAATATTCCCTCTCAGGACTTAGCTCTCGTCCTTTTCTTTGGGTCAGCTGGTTAGAGGTCTTTGCCCTTCCCTACCCTTTCCTTCTCCCGTGTTTCTTCATAGGACTTG